CTCGATACGGTCGGGCACCGGGTCGTACATCCTTAGGGTTCGAACATATATCCTTATCACATAGCCCCCCTGGCTCGGGGCCAGACGACGCCATGCTGGAGGAGGGGCTCGAGCCAAGGCCTTGGGGAGCGTGTCCGGGCTGAACTCTCATGGATCGCGGAACACCTGCGCCCGCATCACGGGCCGTTCTTGGACAAGGCGAGGCACGCGTCAGTTGCGCCATCCCTCGAGATACAGCCCAAAAAGCGGGACGCGAGGCGTTTCTGCGTCAGCTCTCGCCCTATAAATAGTGGCTTGGCTGGGGTCCCACTACGCTTTCCTTATTTATTGCCAACAACCGGACGTTCCGACCGGCCATCCCAATTTCAACGCAGCTTCTAAGTCTTCTCAACCGGTAAGTGAGCTCTTTCTTCTCTTTCCCTTCTCTCCTTATCTTTATGATCCTAGAATCGTTTAGGCCCTTAGAGATAGGTCGGTCGTTGACTCGGGCGTCTTTTAAGTGGAGCATCGGTGTCTGAACACTACTTCTCCCCCTTGATCTTTTAGGGGCGCAAGCATGTCGAGTTCTGACAGCCAAAACTGCTCGGCACGGGATTATGCAGCCGGCACGACGATGGGTCGGCGAGAACGAAGTCCGAAAGTAGTTCATCCCGTCGTTCCGATTCAGCGAGCCACGGCGGTGCCACTCTCCTCGGACAGATGCTGATAACACGCTGGCCGTCGGGCGGACCTGGTGGCAGTGGTGTACGAGCGAAGCTCCCACGCCCGGTCACGCTGCGGAGGAAGACCGGCCGCGCTGCGGCCGGGCGAACAGGGTGACTCTGCGGGGCGCCCGTACTTCTGGCAGGATCTCCCAACCTACGGCAACGAGGGACGGGGCTTGCCGCCGGGCGTTATGGCCGCGGCCTGGACCCTTCGCTGTCTCCCAGGTCGGCAGCCCAACTGGCTGACGACTTGCCTATCTAAGAAGAGGGTTTTTTTGAGCAGGCATGTCCGCTGAGAAGCACCAGAGCAAACTCACAAGAAGGAGGCCGAGGACGCTGCTACCCTCTTGACCGGGCAAGTGCTGTTCAACACCAGGAGGTCCCAAGGGACGGTCGTCGAACGGACGCAGGGGCTTTTGGTTGGGGATGCACCTGGACTCCATCAAGACTCCCCTGTCCTACCCGTTCAGCCCCTTTCTCCTCGCCTTCATGAGGCACTACGGCGTTCTCCCGGGCCAGATCTGTCCTAATGCGCACCGGACTATAGCGTGCTTTCCCCAGATCTGCGCCCGGCACGGTTTAGTCTGCACCGTCGAGCTATTCAACTTTCTATACACGGTTCATCCGCTCACGGCTCGGTACGGGGGCGGATTTCTAGCTGCTCAGACCCGGAGTCATCACTGCAACATCGTCAATCTCCCGGAAAACAATCGCGGCTGGAAGAACCGGTTGATCTCGATCGAGTATCCTTGGCGGCTCCCGGTTAAGAGGTCTTGGTCGCGCCACTTCACTGCGTGCAAGCGTCCCTCTCCCACTCGGGCTTTGAAGGACGCTGCGGCCAAGATTTCTTCCGAGTATTACGAGTTCCGTATCTTCAGGTCGGCCACCGAGTACGAGGAAGCCCATCTTGAACCGCCCCGATATGACGAACCGGAGAAGTACGTCCCTCGGCGTCTCGAGGTGACGGTTGCTGCGCCACCGGTCGCGTTGGCTTCCGATCAGGAAGGTCCGTTAGTGGATCGTTTACGGGCGATGGGACTTCTCTTCTGTCTTCCCCCGTTCTTTCTTTTGGTAGGGGCTAACCAATTGTTACTTCCTCGCAGGTATGAAGCCCGGACGTACTTTTCCAGACGGCTCCTTCGGCCGTTAAAGTTCCCCGACCCAAGGCCGCTCTTGGGGGGAAGAAGAGGTGGCGCCCACGCGCCTTTGACGCCGTTCCAGTGACGTCCGTCCCGACGGCGGTTCCACTTGACACAACGCCCGGGTTGACGAGTCGGGTCCGACCCTGAGCAGCGGGTCGGATTTGCAAATCATTAGGGTCACGGCAAACGTGGCAAGGAGAAGGTGGGGGGAGTCAGAGGGGGCCGTCAAGCGGGCACGCCACCAAAGTCCTCCCGACCTTACCCCTCTCATGAACTCGCTGACGGGCGGCGACCTCCCGGGCAACCTGCTGGCCAAGATGAGCGCCATCTTCCTGGCCGAGGATGATATGGCCGGGTGGACCCCGAGCAGGTCTCCGGAGCGCGGTGCGCAGAGTCTCGTGCAGGTATACTTTCTTCTTTCTCTGGTTTAAATCTTAAGTCTACTCGTTCGGCTAACTTATTTCATTTCAGCTCACCCGGGTGCTCACGTCGCTCTACTACCGCTCGAAGGGCGGGTCGGAGAGTGATGCCCTCAAGAAGGAGGTGAAGGAGCTGAAGAAGAAGCTAAAAACGGCCGAGGACGGCAAAGACATTGCCGAGGCCATCGCAAAAAAGGCGATCGGGGAGACTGCCGAGGCCCGGAAGGAAGCGGAGGACCACCGCCTGCGACTACAGGATCCGGTTGGCTTGGCTGGCCAACCTCTGTCAAGACCCGGCGTTCGCCGAGCGGTTTTTCCGGGAGTTCATCAAGCACAAGGTGGCCGAAGATATGATGTGGGTCTTCGGCAATTGGGCTTATGCTTCCGGTCAGCGGGACACGCATTGGGAGGTGAGATCCGCTTTGACCGAGGTGTTCGAGGGAGATGATCTCAACACCATTTTGACTAACCTCCCGGAGAGCGTCGCCGACCCCGGTCCGATGCCGTACACGGAAACCAAAGCCGAGCCTCCACTGCTGTCGAGAAGGACCCCGCGAAGTGAAGCATCGTCAACTGACGTTCGGGGTTTTCTTTTCCTTTGTCTGTAGTTACTGCCGGGAGCCCGGCCCATTGTGCCGGGCGTTTTAAACGCTCACTCGACTGGTCTTAATGACATTTTTGTTTTTCATTCGGTTTATCCCACTTTTACCTATCGTGTTTGCGTTATGTCTTTTTATTTTTGCCTTCAAGCAATGTCGTTTTGGGTCTAATCACGACCCTGTATAGCCCCCGAGTTCGAGCGGCTATGACGGTCGGTCAATTGTCGGTCGGACTGCAAAGGTAAGGAGGCAAACGCGAAAAAACGCGTGTATAGCCCCCCGAGTCCGAGCGGCTATGACGGTCGGTCACTTGCCGGTCGGACTGCAAAGGTAAGGAGGCAAACGCCGAAAAAACGCGTGTATAGCCCCCGAGTCCGAGCGGCTATGACGGTCGGTCAACTGCCGGTCGGACTGCAAAGGTAAGGAGGCAAACGCGAAAAAACGCGTGTATAGCCCCCCGAGTCCGAGCGGCTATGACGGTCGGTCACTTGCCGGTCGGACTGCAAAGGTAAGGAGGCAAACGCGAAAAAACGCGTGTATAGCCCCCCGAGTCCGAGCGGCTATGGTCGTCACTTGCCGGTCGGACTGCAAAGGTAAGGAGGCAAAGCGAAAAAACTGTTAGCCCCGAGTCCAGCTATGAGTGGTCACTTGCGGTCGGACTGCAAAGGTAAGGAGGCAAACGCGAAAAAACGCGTGTATAGCCCCCGGAGTCGGAGCCGGGCTTATGACGGGTGCGGTTCACTTGCGGTCGGACTGCAAGGGTAATGAGGAAAACACGAAAAAACGCGTGTATAGCCCCCGAGTCCGAGCGGCTATGACGGTCGGTCAACTGCCGGTCGGACTGCAAAGGTGAGGAGGCAAACGCGAAAAAACGCGTGTATAGCCCCCCGAGTCCGAGCGGCTATGACAGTCGGTCACTTGCCGGTCGGACTGCAAAGGTAAGGAGGCAAACGCGAAAAAACGCGTGTATAGCCCCCCGAGTCCGAGCGGCTATGACGGTCGGTCAACTGCGGTCGGACTGCAAAGGTAAGGAGGCAAACGCGAAAAAACGGCGTGTATAGCCCCCTAGTTCGAGCGGCTATGACGGTCGGTCACTTGCCGGTCGGACTTCAAAGGTGAGGAGGCGAACGCGGAAAACGCGGTATAGCCCCCCGAGTCCGAGCGGCTATGACGGTCGGTCACTTGCCGGTCGACTACAAAGGTAAGGAGGCAAACGCGAAAAAACGCGTGTATAGCCCCCCGAGTCCGAGCGGCTATGACGGTCGGTCAATTGCCGGTCGGACTGCAAAGGTAAGGAGGCAAACGCGAAAAAACGCGTGTATAGCCCCCCGAGTCCGAGCGGCTATGACGGTCGGTCACTTGCCGGTCGGACTACAAAGGTAAGGAGGCAAACACGAAAAAAACGCGTGTATAGCCCCCCGAGTCCGAGCGGCTATGACGGTCGGTCACTTGCCGGTCGGACTTCAAAGGTGAGGAGGCGAACGCGGAAAACGCGTATAGCCCCCCGAGTCCGAGCGGCTATGACGGTCGGTCAATTGCCGGTCGGACTGCAAAGGTGAGGAGGCAAACGCGAAAAAACGCGTGTATAGCTCCCCGAGTCCGAGCGGCTATGACGGTCGGTCACTTGCCGGTCGGACTTCAAAGGTGAGGAGGCGAATGCGGAAAACGCGCATAGCCCCCCGAGTCCGAGCGGCTATGACGGTCGGTCAATTGCCGGTCGGACTTCAAAGTTTTAGCGACATTATGGTCGTTTAGGCAACAAAGGCCGGAAGTTTAAGCGACATTGTGGTCGTTTGGGCAACAAAGGCCGGAAGTTTAAGCGACATTGTGGTCGTTTGGGCAACAAAGGCCGGAAGTTTAAGCGACATTGTGGTCGTTTGGGCAACAAAGGCCGGAAGTTTAAGCGACATTGTGGTCGTTTGGGCAATAAAGGCCGGAAGTTTAAGCCGGTTCCGGTTGCAGCATGTTGGCGAGATTCTTGTTTGTTGGTAGAAGGACGATTTTCATTGCAGACATCTAAGTAATGACGTTACAACATTCGAGCCAACTCATGTGGTCTCGGGAAGAAAAGTACAATACAACAGGTTCAAACGGGAAATGAAAGAAACAGGAAATTACAGCTCCACCTATGACATTCTATTGACGGAACATCACCAAATTCTCTGAGTTCCACGTCCGGTCGACCGGTCTACCGGTTGTCGTTTCGAGCTTGTAGGTACCCGGGCGTATTACTGCTGACACCACATACGGTCCTTCCCAGTTCTGCGCCAATTTCCCTCCTTCTTGAGGTTGGCTGGCTTCGCGTCTTCTCAGTACGTAGTCTCCGACTTGGAAGTAGCGCGGACGTACCCGGACGTCTCGAGTGGCTTTGATCCTTTTTTGGTAGTCGGCGATTCTCTGGGCCGCTAGGTCTCTTCTTTCTTCGATACAGTCTAGATCTAAGGATCGGGCTGCATCGTTTTCTCCTTCGACGTATCCACTCTCCCTCGGGCTCGCAATCCATGCTTCAACAGGTAGGCGTGCTTCGGCCCCATAGACTAAAGCGAAGGGCGTTTCGCCGGTCGCCTCTCTCGGGGTGGTGCGGTATGTCCACAGGACAAACGGGAGCTCATCTGCCCATGACCGGCCGGCTGAGTGCAGTTTTTTCTTTAGACCCTCTAAGATCGTCCGATTAGCATTTTCCACTTGGCCGTTCCCCTGGGGGTATGCTACGGACGACCGGATGGATTTTGTGCCGATCGTTGGTAGGAAGTTTTTGAAGTGTTGGCCCTCGAACTGTCTTCCATTATCTGTAACAATCTGCACCGGCACCCCGAACCTTGAAACCACGTTTCGCCATATGAAACGGGCACACTGCTGTGACGTGATCGTCGCGAGGGGTTCCGCTTCCACCCACTTGGAAAAATAATCTATCGCAACTATTATGAATTTTCGTCGCCCCGACAGTTGGGGAAACGGTCCAACAATGTCTACCCCCCACCGCGCAAAGGGATGGCTGTGCTGACCGGGTGGTAGAAGGTAGCCGGTCGTCCAGGCATCCTTGCAAATATTTGACAGGTCTCACACTCTTTGGTGAGCTTCTCACAGTCGAGCTGTATCGACGGCCAGTAGTATCCAATCAACATTATCCGCCGAGCTAATGATCGCCCGCCCTGGTGTGATGAGCATATTCCTGCATGCAACTCGTCCATGACTAGTTTGGCTTCAAAGGCGGATAGACATCTCATAAGCGGGCCCCCGTACGACCGTCTGTACAGCCGACCTTCCTGTATCTGGAACCTTGATGCTCGGAGCTTGGCTTTTCGGGCTCTCGCCTCATCATTCGGGAGTCGACCGTCTTCCAAGTATCCCATTATATCGGTTATCCAATTTTCTTCGACCGGTTGAATCGGCAAGACTTGTCGGTGGTCGATGGAAGGGTACGGTACGACGAGGACCCGGGCTACTCGAGAGATATGCTCGGGTGCTTCCACACTCAACTTCGAGAGGATGTCAGCGTCAGCGTTGTCCATCCGGGGAACATGTTGAACTGCATACGTCCTGAAAGTGGTTAGACGTTCGATCGCTAGATCTCGGTAGCGTCCTAGTCGTTCGCCATTGACTTCAAAGTCTCCCAAAACTTGCCCGACTACCAGTGACGAGTCTGTTCGAGGCCTTACGCTTTCTGCTCCGAGGTCCCTTGCAAACTGCAATCCTGCGACGAAGGCCTCATATTCCGCCTCGTTGTTTGTGGGAGAGAACTGGTAGATCAGAGCGTAGTAGACCTTGAATCCTTCAGGGCTCGTGATGACAACACCTCCTCCGGAGCCTTTCCGACTGCTTGATCCGTCGGTGGCGACTTCCCACCATGAAACATCTTGAACCTGCTGTCTGCGGTTGGGGTTTCCCTGGCTGTACATTCGACGACGAAGTCTGCTAGCGCATGTCCCTTGATAGCCGGTCGAGGCTTGTACTCAATGGCAAACTGTGTTAACATCATGGCCCATTTTACAAGGCGGCCGGAGGAAGAAGCCGTGCGAAGGACGGCTCCGATCGGTTGGTCGGTTAGCACTCGGATGACTCTGCCCTGAAAATAGGGGGTGAGTTTCTTTGCAGTCGTGTAGAGGGCGAGTACCATCTTTTCGAGGCGGGAGTATCTGAGTTCCAGGCCTTGGAGGGCGTGGTTGACATAATATACCGGTCGTTGTACACCGTCGGAATCCGTGCGGCATAGCGCAGCGCTCACAGCTCGGTCAGAGGCAGCCAGGTAGAGGTCAAGGTCTTCGCCCGGTTCGGGCTTGGAAAGGACGATCGGAGATATTAAGTATTCCTTCAATTCCTTGAATGCCGCCTGGCACTCCTCATCCCACACAAATCCATTGACCTTTCTTAGTGTCTTGAAGAAGGGTAAAGCCTTTTCCGCTAGCTTGGATAGGAATCGACTGAGAGCGGCCAGTCTTCCGGTTAGTTGCTGGACTTCCCGGACTGTGGTGGGCGGTTGCATATCCAATATAGCTTTTACCTTAACCGGGTTGGGTTCGATTCCCTTCTTCGTCATCATGAATCCCAAAAACTTCCCGGTCTGGACGGCAAACGTGCATTTTGCCGGGTTTAAACGCAACCGGTAGGTGCGCATTACCTCGAAACATGCTCGAAGATCCGGCGTGGTCCGTCCGGTCTTTACTTTTGACGAGCATGTCGTCTACATACGCTTCCATCGTTCGACCGAGCTGTCCTTCGAATAAGGCGTTGATCATCCTCTGATACGTGGCCCCGGCATTCCGTAGTCCGAACGGCATGACTCTATAACAGAAGAGTCCGTCCGGAGTCACGAAGGACGTTTTGGCTTCATCTTCCTCGGCCATCAAAATCTGATGGTACCCTCTAAATGCGTCCATGAAGCTCATGAGGTCCGCCCCAGCCGTGCCATCGACCATTTGGTGTATGCTCGGTAAGGGGTATGGGTCCAACGGGCATGCCTTGTTCAGGTCTGTGTAGTCGATGCACCATCCGCATGTTGGTGGTTTGGGCATAAAACAACATTGGCGACCCAATCGGGATAAACGACCGGGCGGAGGTGGCCGATCTCGGTGAGGGTTTTGACTTCACTTCTGACAAACTCCCGGCGGTCATTGGAGAGATGCCTTGTCTTCTGTTTCACCGGTCATGCTGTCGGGCTGACAGCCAATCGGTGGCATATCACTGTCCGGTCCCACTCCTGGCATGTCTCCGGTCCCCATGCAAAGATGTCTGAGAACTCTCTTAGTACGAATAAGACAGCTTCCTTGATCGCCGGGGGGGAGCTGCCGTCCAATGCGGATCGTCCTTTCCGGGCGGTCAGCTTGTATGGGGACCTCTTCGACCTCATCCGACGGTTCCGGCTGTTCCTTCCGTTCAGCTTCCGCTTTCTTGGAGATTGAATTTACTTGGGAATTCCAGGCCTCCTTTTTGTCGATTGCCTTTTGGTAGCACTTCCGGGCTGATCGGACGTCTCCTCGGACGACCCCTACTCCTTCGGGGGTCGGGAATTTCATGCATAAGTGGGGCATGGAGATAATTCCTCCGATCGACACGATCGCAGGTCTCCCTAAGATAGCGTTGTGGACGCATCGAAGGTTGACGACGCTGAATTCCATCATGGTTTTGATCGTCCGGGTCGGTTGCCAATTTCTACCGCAATGTTATCTTTCCCTCCGGATGGATAGTATCACCAGTGAATCCAGATAATGGGGTCCCGATGGGTGTTAACTCGATCGGTTCTAATTTTAGCTTCTGGAAGACGTCCATGTACAAGACATTCACGCTGCTGCCCGTGTCCACCATGACACGTTGGACGTCGGTCCCCATGATGTCGATCGTGACGACCATGCTTCAGTGTTGCAGTCCTCTCCCTTCGGCATATCGCTCGGGTAAACGTGATTGGTTCTAGCTTTTGTCTCTTCTCACTAGGCTCAGATCCTATTAGTCCGATTTGGAATTTCTCCCGGGCATTGGAACTTTCCTCCGAGCCACCGAATATGACGTGGATGACTTGTTTTCCAAGTCGACTGTCGGGGCTCGGTGTCCCGGTCGTGATCTTTGTCTTTTTTGTTCTTATTTGATTTTCTTGAACGGGTTTTTCCAAGACGATTTTTTCTCGTCCTTCTTGTTGGTGAACTCAGTGAGCTTTCCCGATCGTAACAACTCCTCTATGACTTGCCTGAGGGTCGTGCAGTCTTCCGTTTCGTGCCCTTTGCTGCGATGGTACGCGCAATACTTTGTCTTGTCGCGACCCTCGCACTGTGGTTCCGGCAACCGGATCATGTTGCAAGATTGGGCAAATCGAAGGACGTCGACTGCCGGTCTGTTCAAGGGGGTAAAGTCGGTGCTCTTCCTCGCCCTCGGCGGATCTGTCGTTCGTCCACCCCTCCTCTTGTCGGCCTGCGGTTTTCGGCTGCTGCCGGGCCTCTTGTTGGCGCTTGGCGAAATTGGCTTCACCAGCATTAGCATAGCTCAGTTACCCTTTCGGATTGCCTCATCGTAGGTAGCCGGAGGGTGTAGGATGAATTCTTGGTATAGGGCCCCGGCACGCAAATTGGAATGCAACACGTTGATCGCTGTCCGGTCGTCGAGGGGTTCAACCTCGCCGATCGCTGCCTTCCATTTGATCGAGGAAGTCCGTCAAGGACTCGCCTTCTAGTTGCTTGGCCTTTCAAGGTAAGTGAAGTGTTTCCGGACTTCTTGGAGGTGGCGAATTTGTGCACGAACTTTTTCGCCAACTCCGCGAAACAGGCGATTGAACCCGGGCTCCAATGTTTGGAACCAGTCTGCTGCCCTCCTGTCAGGTTGAGTAAAACAGCTTCGACACATTACTGACGTCGGTTACTCCCATCATCAGCATGTTTCCATAGTAGGAGTTAATGTGTGCTTCCGGGTCGGTTTTTCCATCGTAACCTTTATTCCCCGGTATTCGCAAGTCGTGAGGGTAGGGGAGGCTCATTTACATCTGCCCGTGAAGGGGTTGCGCAGTAGGGGCGCTTCAGGTTCGGACGACCGGTGGCCATGCTCACGCCTCCATTTACAAAATTCCTCCCGGACTTGCTGCAACAGTCCCTTAGCTTCGTTTCGCGATCCTCTCGGTCAGCAGCCCGTCGAGCCATTCTCCTAGATCTGCAGCTGCTGACTTTCTCCGGACTCTTCTTGTCGGGGCGCTGGGAGGTTTACAGATTCCTCCATATCTTGCCGGGCTCCGATTCGCTGATGCACAGACGGCTGGAGAACGAACGAAAGCACTCATGCGCGCGGGGACTTCTTCAGCCCCCCGCTCGTGAGCTGCTCCAGGTCCTAACCTCGACCTGGCCGGTCGGCGCTCAGATTGGGCCCGGCGGAGCTCTGGTGCCGCTGCTGACGCTGACGCCACTGACTGGCCCGCTCGGGCACGTTCGGCGCATTCGGCATTGGCATGGGCATGTAGGGTTGGTAGGCGCCCGGGCCTGGTGGGTACTGGTATTGGGCTCCGAAGAAGCGTTGTGGCTTTGCCAATATGGGTACACCGGATCAAACATCCCGGGTGCATACATCGGGTATTGGAGTGGCATTTGTCCGGGGATGCCAGGGAATGCTACTCCTGGTTGAATGAAATTAACCGGGTCCGGGGTCATCTCCCTGCCCGGTGGTGTATTAAGGTCCATCCGCGGATTCATCTGTGATCGGAGGTCCGATGAGCTCTCCTCGGCTTCCGCATCGTTATTGAAGTCCATGAATGGAAACATTTTCAGGATCCGTCTGGTGTTTACCGGGACGGCTTTCAGTTCGATCCCCACAGACGGGCGCCAAAATGATACTGTTTATACTGAGTGGTATATTTATACGGTCGTAAGCGAGGCTCGGATCTCTCACGTGGGTCGGGAAGGTCCGGTCTTTGCCTCGTGCCCCAAAGTCCCTTCCAAGGTGCATTTAATGCGCTATTTATAGGGTCAGAAAGGTGGGTCACGCCGGGCCTCCGGGATGTTAGACACGTGGTGGGCATGCCACCGGGTTGTTACCTGCGGCCCGTGTCGACTGTCTGCCACGCGGCGCTAGAGGTCTGACTCCTCCTCCCCTCTGCCAAGAGTCATCCAAGGGCCTCCCGTCGGGATCGCCCAGTAAACCGGTCACTTCCCGGCGGGTTCTTCGAGGTGTCTTGCTGCTCGGGGGTCGACCGTGTCTACTGACCCTTCCGGGTCGGGAAGGGTAGGGGGCTCACTTCCAAGGGTCGGGTAATGACCCGGTCTCGATACGGTCGGGCACCGGGCGTACATCCTTAGGGTTGAACATATATCCTTATCAGGTATAAATAGTTGATAACATTAGTTGATTGTAGAAAAGTGTTTGGTAAATTAGCTGTTAGCTGATAGCTGTTTGGTATAATTTCTTTTCTCAAAAAGCTAATTGAAAAAGTTGTTTGGAGTAGCTTTTTGAATTTTAGCCTTTTGGAGTTGCAAAAAGTTAATTAACCAAACATTTATATTGATATTTTAACTACATCAAATAATTAATAGTGATCAAATAAGTCAAAATTGGCCTATAGGCCTTTTTTTTTTACCAAACAAAGCCAACAATTTGAATTTTATTATGCATTAAATGTCTAGTGTATATATATATATATATATATATATATATATATATATATATATATATATATATTTATGACATGTAATCTAGGGATGACTTGTATAAGAGTATTTCGAGATTAACTAATTGCATTCACTATTTGTTTCTTGTAATTTCAAGACTCACACTAACGTCACATTAGACATTTTAAAAATTTGCATCAGCTCCACCGAGTGTGAATACTAAACTAAATAAATAACAAATATATAATAAATACACAAATTAAAGTTAAAATAAATAATAAAACTAAATATAATATAAATTTTATTCGTTATTCTTGTAATTCATAACGCTCTCGAGCCCCACCTCAAAATGAATGTATAATATAACATTAATTTAGAACTAAATTTGCATCCGCTCCACCGAGTGTGAATACAAACTTAATAATTAATTAAACAATATATAATAAAAACACAAATTAAAGTTTAGAATCCAAAATTAAATTAAATATGATTTAAAATTTTTATTCGTTATTCTTGTAATTTCACAACTCACCTTGGTCCTACCATTGAGAATGTGAATATTTTAAAATTTTACATTGCTTCCGTTTGTGTGAGCACAAACTATTTTCATCTTGATAAAAAATTCAAATAATATAAAATAAATAAACAAATTAAAATTGAGAATCCATTATAAAACTTTTAATATAATATAAATATTGTAACATAATAAGTTTTTTTGAAAGCCAATCAGACGATTGTATTAATGAATAAACATAGTAATAGCGTCAGGGGTATAGAATCTCAATACATAGAATGTTCCTGAGCGAATGCTAAAGAAGCTAGAGTATGAGCATGCAAATTAACTTGTCTAGAAACATAACATAACGTAAGCTGATTAAATAGGGACATAGTAGTCCTGCACTGATCAATCACGACCCCAACATAAGAGAAGGTAGATGTTGTTTGTTGGTGTAAAGCGCTCCGTAACACCAAGCAGCCCGTGAGAAGACAGACCGCTGTGATATTCCTTTCCAACAACCAAGATAGAGCATCCTTACAAGCT